CAGAACACGGCGCGAGGTGGGGTGGTAGAACTGCCAGCCTGGCGCGTCAGGGGGGAAGCCAAGGAAGACGCAGGGAACAGCACGAGGGGACAGCTTGTCCGCAGACAAGTCGCGGACAAACGCCTGAGATCCCCAGACACGGAACGCAGACGCATCGCCAACCTTCCCCGTCCACAGCAAAGTAGGGGAGGTCTCCGGCATGGAGACCCGGGGCTGAAGGTTGATCTGATGCGCCGCGTACCGAACCGCAAACGGCCACAGAAAATGGGGGGCAGCCGCATGAACCATGGACGTACGAGCGACGTCCATGACCATGCCAATGCGGCGCTCAGCAATCCCATTTTTCTGTGGAGTGTCCGGAAGCGTGAAAGTCTGGCGGATGCCTCGTGCACGACAGAAGGCTCGCAGAAGGTTAGAGGAGAACTCTCCGCCTCTGTCGGAGTGCAGACGCAGAACAGGCAAGTCCGAGCCGAAACTCTCTCTGAGCTGGAGACGAGCTGCGCAGATCCAGGCGATCAACACCTCAGTGACCTCACCCTTGCTGCGCAAGGGGAAGACTGTGGTGTAACGCGAGTAGTCGTCAACCACCAGCAGGAAGTAACGCTCGTGACCCTGTCCACGGACGCGGGCTGGGCCCCACACGTCCATGTGAAGCGTCTGCAGCGGAGCCTCTGTCGGAGGAAACTCGGAGGAGTGAGGAGCAGCGCGCTGCCGCCCCTCGATGCAGGGAACGCAGGTGGGGGCAGGCCCCGGAGGAAGGGGAGGGAGTGACCGGGGGAGACCAGAGACAAGGACACGGGAAGCCATGCCTCGAAGACGAGGCAGGGAGGGGTGACCAAGGCGGTGGTGCCAGAGGAGAGTCTGGTGAGACAGGAGACGACACGAGCAGGGGGCAGACTCAGGGCCAGACCTGGACGCCGCAACAAACACCTGACCCGACGCGGCTACCTGAGCAGACTCAGCGACTGGAGGAGACTCAGTAGTCAGTGTGTACAGGCTCGACCCCGGCTGACGGGTAAACGTGGCCAAGTGACGGCCCGTCCGAGCACAGGTATAGCGGGTCACTCGCTGACTCGCAGGAGTGAACTGGTGAACCCCTGCATCCCAGAGGTCAGCACCACTCACCAAGTTCGTAGAGAACGAGGGGAGGTAAAGACCTGAAAGTGTGCCAGAAGGGGCCGCCGGACACGGTAGGACAGTGGAGAAGTGGGCAAGGACAGGACCCCCAGAGGGGTCTGCCAGGGAGACTGCCACTGGCCGACTAAGCGGCGTGAGCGTGGTGCGGTCTCGAAAGAAGGAGCGGGAAGCACCCGAGTCAAGGGTGAAGGTGTGGGTGGCCGGAGCCGACACGGTACCTGAGAGCGCAGACTCACCAGCACCTGGGGCAGCAGACTCACTGGCACCTAGAGCAGCAGCCTCACCAGCACCTAGAGCAGCAGCCTCAATGCCCGGGTCAGGCGGAAAACACCGGTAACAGTCACCCTCATCACTAATAGTCACAGCATACATGGCAGCAAGAATAGCATCATAATCAAGATCAAAGATCGCAACACCCGCCCTAAACAGCTAGCCCCAGCGAGGGATCTCAGTAGCGTCGGGGAACTGGTGACGCCAAGCGTCCGTCAGACGGCCGAAGCAGCGCTGGGTGGAGTGCGGACCCCCACACTGCTCACCCGCGCGGTCGCCGGTATGGAGAACGTAGGTACAGGGGCCAGCACCCCCACCCCGCTGACGAGCAGTGTACCACTCACGAAGCTGCTGGGGGGAAGGGGTCTCACGAGTGCGCTGCTGCTGCTGCTGCTGGCGCTGACCACCACCGGAGACGACCCTCTGCGTAGAGCCGCCCCGACCAGCTCCACCTCCGCTGCCGCTACCTCCACCACCGCCTCCACCTCCGCCACCTCCGCCCGCACCGCCACCACCGCCTCCTCCTCCGCCTCCACTGCCGCCACTAGCGCCCCCACCCCCGCCACCACTCCCACCGCTACCCCCACCCCCTCCGCCGCCTCCACCGCCGCCTCCACCGCCCCCGCCAGCTCCTCCAGCGCCCTTGCCCCCCTTGCCCTTGCCTGAGCGGCGTCTCCCGCTATGGGCAGACGCCGCACCGACCGACTCAAGACCAACGAGGTCGGCCGCAGCAGCAGAGGCAACGGAGGGCAAGAGGGGGGAGGGGGAGCACCCCTCAAAGACAGGGGTACGAGGGTCACCACGAGAGGCTCCTACAGCGACTATACTCTTCTCTGCTGCCAGGAGGCGCTCCTCGAGGAGGTCAACGGTGAGAGTGGTGGGGCAAACAGAGAGAAAGTGGTCCCTGACCGAGCGAAGGGTGTCAGGGAGCCGGATGACTATGTAGTAGAGGGTGATGTACATAGGGGGGGGGGTTCTTGGCGCAGAACTCAGCAGGAAGCGCAGCGCGGTAGCGAATGTCACTAGTGCGAAGGTGCGTAATGAGGTCAGCGACTGTGGGAAAAGCAGCGAGGTCAGGGAAGAGGTACGGCAGTATGAGGCGGCTAAGAGCAGCAGTGGCAGGGGAAGAGTAGCGTGCAACTACAGCGTCGTACAAGGTCTTAGCACTCTTGTACTGACTAAAATGCGCGCGCTCAGCGGTCGGTAAGTGGCGGCGCACAGCAAGGCGGGCAGCAGCATCGCGCGTGGCCCACTGTGAGCGAACAGTGCTGTCAGCATCAGCAGTAGGGGCAGGAGAGGCACCAGAAGTGAGGTCAAAGAGGGAGAGACCGTCTGCCCTATCGCACTGTAGGAAAAGCTGCAGATCATCTTACCAGACCTCAAAGTCAACAGCCCGACCCTCAGCGTCAAAGGCGAGAACACTGGGGGTGGCCATGACAGCAGTAGACTAGCAGAGAGAGCAGCGGGGTAGGGCAGTGCAGTGGCAGAGGCGTTGCTCTTACCGGGCAGGTGGGGCGGGCCGAGGCAGGCCGGCAGGGACGTGGCCGCGACTGCAGTGACTGCGGCGTCTCGGCTGCGGCGACGTGGCGGCTCGGCGGCTCGGCTGCAGGGCGGCTCGGCGGCTCGGCGGCTCGACGGCTCTGCGGCTAGGCGGCTCGGCGGCTCGGCGGCTCGGCGGCTGGGTGGCTCGGCGGCTCGGCGGCTCGGCGGCACAGGCGGCTCGGCGGCTCGGCGGCAGAGGCGGCTCGGCAGCTCTGCGGCTCGGCTGCTCGGCGGGGCCGGGACGGGCGGCGGAGGGGCCGAGGAAGGGCGGCGACGGGGCCGCAAGGGGCGGCAACGGGGCCGCTGAAGGGCGGCGACGAGGCCGCTGAGAGGCGGCGGCGGGGCCGCTGAAGGGCGGCGACGAGGCCGCGAAAGGGCGGCGACGGGGCCGCGGAAGGGCGGCAATGGGGCCGCGGAAGGGCGGCAACGGGGCCGCGGAGGGGGCGGCGACGTGGCCGCTGAAGGGCGGCGACGAGGCCGAGGGGAGGAGGGGCCGGCGACGGGGCCGCGAGGGCGGCGCGACGGGGCCGCGAAGGGGCCGCGAGCGGCCACGAGGGGCCGCGAGGGGCCGCGAGGGCGGCGCGACGGGGCCGCGAGGGCGGCACGACGGGGCCGTGAGGGCGGCGTGACTGGGCCGCGAGGGCGGCGCGACGGGGCCGCTAGGGGCCGTGAGAGGGGCCGCTAGGGGCCACTAAGGGGAGACACACGGGGCGCGACTCGGGCAGGGGCTAAGCGCGCTCCGGGCAGGAAAAAAAATCGATATTCGGTGGGCCCTAGGAAAAGTTCCCACTAGGGAACCTACTCGATACCATGAGAAAACTAGAACGAGAATGGATTGACTAAGGAATGAAAGTGATACAAATATGAAACCCTAGAATTGTGTACCCCTTAGTGTCTAACCCGCTACAGCCTACACAGGCTAGATCATATAAGTTTGACAGTTCTGTGCCATTAAAATTAACATTGTTGACTGGAGCTTCACCGGCTTCGTCTTCAGAGTCGTCGGTGTCGTTGTCGACCGCTGGAGCAGGGGGTGCTGCTGTTGCTGCGTCGTTGTCGTGCCGATTCGTCCTTGCTCCTCGCGCGCCTTTTTCCTTTTTCGTATTTTCTTTTTTAGCCGACGCAGATGCAGCGGGTAGTGCAGTTTCCGCGGCTGTAACGCTGACGGGCTGCTGCTGTAGAAGGGACAGCAGCGCGTTGACCTGGTACGGGGTCAACGCCTGCGTCAACGCAGGGGCGGTCGTCGCGTCAGACGAGGAGACCGCCGTCCGCCTCCTCTGGCGCTGACGCGACGGTCCAGCCGCGGGTGCTGGCGTGTGCTCGGCGTCAGTGGCGTGTGCCGCACCAGCGGCCGTCACCACTTGCGCCGCAGGTGCCATTGGCGCCACAGGCGCCTCAGGCGCCACTGGCGCCGAAGGGTGCTGCTGGGCGTTGGCCGATTTGTTGACCTCGAGCCCGCCCAGCAGCACGTCCACTGCAGTCGGGGCGGGCGGTCCATCTTCTGCCCGTCACTTGTTACGGAGTTCGCCCGCCAAATCGCGGGTGTTACGGTCGTTGTCGGAGGCGGGGTTGGACGAGTTGCTGTTGTTAAGTGTCGGCGTCGGTGCCATCGTTGAGGGATTGAAGTTAAAAATGTTGCTGAGTAAAGTCGAAGGTGACTCGCCTCTAGGAAGCGATTTTGTTCTAGCTAGCTTGGACGAAGGGATAAACTACGTGAGCGGAAATGTTGAGTGAGCCGTTTGAAAATCAAGAAACGTGGGTGGAGGGAAATGAACTCCAACCCACGGTTTTTGTAGTTGGAGAAGGGCGTTTAGCGCGCTTCGACGATGCCAATTGTGCGGTACAAGCAGCTTCGCTTTCACAATACACAATTTTAAAAACACAATGTGTGTTTAAAAATTATAATATTTGAAAGCTTCCTCACACCTTGCGCATCCCATGCCATATCACCACCAAAACACTGTTTCTCAGCTGCCCTGCATGGCCCGTGCACAGCTGCACCGCACCTATGCGTCTTCCCTTGCATTGCAACATGAACATGTCAGTGCTCGCTATGCCTCAAGGACGTAACAGTCGATGGCCTGTTCATCATCTGCTGCAACGCCCTCACTCACTCTCACCACCTCCTCCACCCTCACCTCCACCTGCTGCACCTTCCCCTTCCCACTCCCCCCCGAACGCCATGGCTTCTCTCCCCACCACCCCCCATTCCACCCATCACCACCCCCCCTCGCACCCTCACTCGCTTGCCCTGCCAAGGGTGTGCTCCCCTCGCCCCCACGCCGTACCCTCCTCCATTCCTCAGCGCCACGGCTCGCAGGACTCACAAGCACATCCCTTGCCTCTGACCCCATTTCCCGCACTGCCTCCCCCACACCCTCTGCTGCCGTGTCCCTCCCTTGCTGCCATGCGTGCGCACCAGCCGCCATGGCATGGGAGATCTGCCCCGCCACATGCCCCGCTGCAGGGGCCACTGCGGACGGCACGCCCACCGCCTCTGCTGCTGCCACCGCCTCTGCTACCTCCCTCATCGCCCTCTCTGCTGCTGCTTCCCTCTCCGCCACTGCTCTCTCGTCTTCCTGCCTCCTGTCACCCCCATTGACAACACCAGAATTGGCAGCAGCAGTGGCAGCACGTGCTTGTGCCTCAGCCTCAACGGCACCTCCTGCTTCCGTGCGGTGCGCACCCATCACTCCAGCTGCCACAGACACTCCCATAGCACCCGAAGCAGCTGCAGCAGGGGGGGGCGAACCAGCATTCAGCGCATCTGGACTAATGGCCGACCCAGGGCGAGTTGGAGTGGCAGGAAGGGAACCAGTGGGCGGCACAGCAGCAGGAGCGGTGGCAGAGGGAGAGGGGTAGTGCAGGTGGAGAGTGACGGCCGTGATGGAGGAGTTCTGGTGCACGAGGAAGAGGCGCCGCCCCACGAACGCCATGCAGCACACCCAGCAGGGGAAGCGCGTGTCCGTGAATATGCGCCCCTCGCCCTCCACCAGGTCCCAGTCGCCGCGCCCCGGGTTCCACACCTGGTTGCATGGGAGTGCATGCATGGAGGAGAGGTGATGGATGCAGTCAAGGCAGCTAAGGCAGTTTGGGCAACAGGAAGTGAAGAGGAAGGAGAGAGTAGGTCAAGGTGAAATGCACGGGTTACTGCAAGAAAGTAAGAAGAGTGGGAACGGAGCGCTTGTGTGACATAAGATGTACCATGGAAAAAGAAAGAAAAAAAACAAAACAAAACAAAACCAAAAAACAAAAAGAGGCTCAGACGCAGAACAGTGTACAGAAATCACCATTCCCGATTTTTAACCATAAAAAAACAACAGCAGCCGCAGAGGAAGAAGCAACAAGGGCAACAACTGAGAAGTCATTGTGGGCACGAGACTCCACTCGTGGCTGCACACACGGGACCACTCATTTCACCTTCTTCCCACGCCCCACCCACGCCCACGTGGTCAGGCACATTCCAGTGGTCAGCGACGATGGCGCACCTGCAGGGCGTCCTTGATGCAGAAGAGCAAGTCGCCCAGCGCGGCGCACGGGGACAGCAGCGACGTCGCCAGCGACCGATGCACTATGGGCTGCCACTGCCGCGCACGCGGGCTGTACACCGCCCCCCTCTGCATCACATGCAGAGAGACGGGCAAGGGGGGTGAGGAGGGAGGACAAGCCATGAGGGGCTTTGCAGCGGCAACAATGAGAACGAGCAGTAGCAGCATGGTGGGACGTATTGAGAAGCAACTGAGCTGCTCATACCCCGTCCCCCTCTGACCTGCCCCTCATCAGTGAAGTTGCCGCTGACGAGGAAGCGGCCTGAGAGGGTGACACCCGAGGAGAACAGCATGGGCTGTGGCATGGGCGGCAGAGCCACCCACTCGTCGCGCTGCACGACGTACTGCTCCGCTGCCACCAGCAGCTCGCTCGGGTGCAGGCGCGGACGAACCATGCCGCCCGCCACGAGGATCACACCGTCATCGCCGCAGTCGCTGGCAGTGATGGTTGTGCTGCTTCTGGTTCTGCTTCTGGGGTTGCTGGCTGCACTGCCCATGTCAGCTTCACAAGATCTTGCCATACCTTCTCCTCCTCCACATTTTCCTCCTTCCCCACCTCCCCCTCCCCCCTCGCCCTGTCCTGTACCGTCCTCCCCATCAGCGACCTGGGCGCGCGGCAGGGTGCCGGACGCCATGTAGCAGCGTGCGATGCCCATGTCGGCGCGGCGCTGCCAGCGGTGCGTGCAGGGGTCGTAGCACCACGTGCACTGCAGCGCCGGCCCGCCCTCGCGCCACCCGCCAAACACGTACAGCTTGCCGCCCACTGCTGCTGACCCCAGCCCTCGCACCTGGCGTGGGGGCGATGTGACGAGACAGGGCAACGCGGGTGTGCAGGAGGAGAAGGGGACAGAACTGGACCGGGTGGCCAGCACGCGAACACGAGTGGTTGTTTACACGAGGGTTTTGGAGCGGCAAGGAGGGGCATAGAGTGCATGGATGGAAGAGGACCTGGTTGGTGTTGCTGGCATCACCGCGGTGCAGCAAGGGAACAGGTGAGCGGGAGCAGGGCCGCAAGTGGAAAGGGGAGCGGGTAGCGGAATGAGCGGTGCGAGCGAGGGGATGGGTGGGTGGAAGAAGAGGAGAGGCTATGCTGTGTGGGGTGGCTGCATGGGCGAGCAAGGGCGGCAGCACCTCCCACTCCCACCCCAGCCCAACCGAGCAACTCCGTGCTCTCCAATTGCACTGCTCCCCCACGTTCCTGTCCCCCTTGCCCTGCTTCTTCCCCCGCCCCCCATTGCCCTCCGCCCCTCCATGCGCGCACCTGCATGGCATTCTCTGTGGCGCTCGCACTCTCCCCCGGGAGCAGCAGCGGCGGCAGGGGCGGCAGCGCGTGCCATGTGCGCGTGGTGGTGTCGAACGCGCGCCAGTAGTTGCGGTAACCGCCGTCGCGCGTGCGCACGTACACCCACGCCTCCGCCACGCCGCACTGCCGCCGCCGCCGGCACAGTTCCCCCGAGTCCAGCAGCTGCGCCCACGGGCGGCACACCAGGCGGAGAGCCTTGCGTGGGGGAAGACGCGGGAGGGGGGGGGGGGGGGGGGAGGGGGGTGGGAGGGACAGCGGAGAAAGGTTGTGGGGAGAGGGAAGGGGTGCAGAGTGGGCGAGGAAGCAGCCGGCCGGTGCCCATATAATATGCGCGTTAGATGGGTACAACAGCGAGAAGAGCGAGACTAAGAGATTCGCGTTTTGATGAGGTTACAGATGGTTACTCTGTGGTAGGCACGCGGCACGCGGATGAGGCACATGATGGCTAGATCGTCTAGTAGGCCTGGAATCAACGGCTGAGATACATCCTCGTCTGTTTCCATCTGCTCCGCCATAAAATTTCGAGGAAATGGCTTGTGCACACGTGGGATTTTAGGCGCAGGCGATGATGAAAGCTACAACTGCTGGACGCGAAGTGGGACCGAGGCTAGACGGGAGAAGAGTTGGTGGGTGAAGGGACTCCTGAATGGAGTGCCTTTGCTTTTGCGAGTATTAAGGGCATGACAGGTTCGTCGCGTAGTGGTTCGGTGCGACGACATAGGCAAGACAGGTTCGTCGCGTGACCCTCGGGATGGCCTCGCTAACGAGTGCCTCAAAATCCTTACACTCTCCCACCTTCTAAAGAAGGCAGCCCTGTACTGAAACAGGCCCCACACTAGCAAGGATTCCGTAGATCTCCTCTTCAGCTGAATCCGACGGCCGAAATGCCTTGGACAATAATTTTGAAAAGGTTGGAATGTAGGCCGTCGATGAAGGACGATTTCGATCTGACGGTCGACGATGATCTGGAACAAATTGAAGTAGAAGTTGGAATGTGGGCCGTTGATGAAGCAGATGTAAATCTGACGGTCGAAGACTGAAGCGAAAAGGGAGGGAACCTGCTGACGCGAAATTCAATCGCGATGTAGCAGAAACCGTTGATCTTGTCGGTGTGATCGCAATCGTCCGTCGTGCTGACGCAACCTGACAAAGTTAGAAAGGACCGCGAAATACGCCGAGGAAAGAACAGTGCAGCGCACTTTCTCCCCCCCTCTAAGAAAACACATCAGAAAAGTCCCGCAGCTGCGCCAAGATGGAAACCAACAAAACCAGGTGTAGAAAGCCGTTGAGCGTAGAAACCCAGGGTCAAACGCGTCGGTGTGAAAAAGTCGATGACGAAACCAGGAATTACGTGCCCAAAAAATCTTCGAGGGCGAGCCCGTAGATGTAGCCCAGAAACCGTGTCGAATTAATCAAAGACCTCGAACTGTCAATTCTTGTCGTGACGGATCCAGAATCTTCGGTGGTAACTTCAGCAGTTGCAGTTGTCGTGGGCGGGTCGAAGGCGTGTAGTAGAGTTGGAATGGTTTCTCCGAGAGTTTTGTCGTAAAGCGCCGATGGTTCGTGGGCAGGGATGAAATTTTACAGCTGTCTCTCCCCCCCTTCACTGTTGCTGCCGCCTTCTTCAGTTCGTCGTAAGTCGTTCGTACCCCTTGAAAACTCCGTGTAGTTCCCGCGGTGTTGTCCTGCGTCGTTGTCGCACGCGTTTAACCAAACGCCGAAGTACTCTCTCTCGAAATTGTCGGCACTCCTCGCCGTAAAACCGGATGTCCGTCAAACTCCGAAATTGTCGCTCGGATCAAACCCCGAAAATCCGCAGTTGCAGTTGCAGTTCTCCTCCGAAATCTTTGGTCGTACTATAGCCGCCCACTCGGTCACCAGCTGTTTCCGTCAGTTCAGAACCCATCTGGGGGGAAATCTGGAACCGGGGACTAGACCTGGGTATTCCGAGACCGACTTTCACGGATCCTAGAGGCATCAACGCCGTTGACCCCGTTGTCGAAACTGCTTCCGCCGATGATGTTTTAACAAAGTAACACGCAAACTCCCACTGGCGCTTTGCAGATGTTTCACCCATCGCTCGTCGCCGGCAGGTAAATCCCGAAACTTCGGCTGCTCCCACGCTCCCTTTTACTGGAGAATTTCCCGCGGTGTGCGTTTAAACACCAGTGGGTTCTAAGTATCCCCGCCGCTGTGTTTCTTGCCAGGCGACTTAAAAGTAACCCTTCAGGCGAAGTCCCCCAACGGCTCAACCGCACTCCAAGAAGCGAAGAAACATCCTCAGCTTCAACTCTTTTTTTTTTTTTTTGTAGAAAAATAACCCGAAAGTCGTGGTTGAGGCAGCAGTCCCGAAGTCAGGTCGTGTCCGTAGGGATGACATGTCAAGCTTGTGAGTGTCAACTTCTGGTTTTGACACTTGCCAACATTGTTGGCAGAGTGTCAACGACATGAAAACTGCCAGCCAGTAAATTTAGTCGGACATTCCGCTTTGCGAATCGTGTTCCTCCATCCAGCCAACCAACTGGTAGGATCGAGAATTCTTTCTACCCACACCTGCCCTATCGGCGGATGTAAAGTTCTGTACAACTGCAAGGTCTTGCAAGAAATCGCGTGTGGATGTAAAGTTTTGTGCGACTGCAAGGTCTTGCAACAATTTGTGCCCAACCAATCACGTTGCGTCGCAGGATTTTGTGCTGCGCTTCGTTTTGACGCTGAAGGTACAGTGCTTGACACCCCAAATTCCGCGAGCTCATCCACACGGACACGAACTCATTCTCCGCCGTGTAGCCCCGACGTTTCCGCCGGTTACCCCTGGTTCTCCGATGTTCACGCATCTTCATACCCGTCGAAACCACTTAGCGAATCACAGGTATCATTGGCAATGTACCGCTCGCCGCGCCTCCATGTAACAATATCAAACCCTTTCGAATAGACTCCGAAATTCGCGGTGGATTGGTGCACGGGCTCAACCTCTCACTCAAGTGATCTGCTGGATCACCCACAACTTTCCCTCCGTCGTCATATTTTCGTATTCACCCCCCGACAATTCCGCTTTCCGCCGTTCACCCAGCGTCCGCTTTTGTCGGATGAGGTATCGTCGTTGCTGCCCGCGCGAACCCGGCCACGGTGGAGAGGCAAAAACTATCGGAGTCGGGGTAGCCTTACTTAAAGCTGTCGCCTACATACTTGCTGCGGGAGGACTTGGTTTATCACTTGAAAACCTGGTAGCACAGGGCTTCGCTCCAACCTTGAGTGGCGATGTGTAGTTACTGCGTTGTGACAACCCAACCCCCCCTCTGAAAATAGGACTGCTTAGGATTGGCTTACAGTTTTCGCGCCCATCTCATCCCGAGCCTTGCACGAAACTGGCGGGATTCGCCAGTTGTGTTCGAAACCTTCGCGCCCTCATTTCTGGAAAAGGGTCATTTCGTGAGCAAATCAGACTGCGTCTTAGGGTGTGCACCCGAAATACCCACAGAAAATACCATTTCGTATGTAGACCGCAGCTTTAAAAGGAACATCGCCCAACCGTTTTGCAGCCCGCCGTGCCTATCACGCTATGAAAATTCCACAGCTGCCCGGTCTCAGCTTCGCCGATGCGCCGTCTAATCGTGTAGACGCCCGGTTCAGGAGAAACCTGTAAACTGCACCAATGTTGTCCACGCAGCTCCCCGACTTTTTCGCGTGCCGTTCACCCAGCCCGCTTTTGTCGGAGTAGAACAGTGCCGCGAGCTCCACTTTTTTTTTTTTGTCTTTTTCTGTACAGCTGTCGAACGAGCACCAATCCAGGTGAGAAGAAACAAGGAATGAATGAACTATGAATGAATTGGGTACAAGTACTAACCCTAATTGGGTTGTACCCCTTATGGGCTACCCCACTATAGCCTACACAATATGCATGAGCTATAATGTTCTGACACACCCCCATAGGCAAAGTGGGGGAGAACAAGGGGTCACAAGACCAGTCAAGCAAAGTAAAGCAAAGCAAGCTCAGGGTGGATCACAAAGTCACCACACATTCCGAGCACAAGTTCAAGGCCACAAGGCCAGTTCACATGCAGGAGTACATATATATATAAAGGCTAGACAAGCAAGAGCAGGTATATATATATGTAACAGCACAAGTAAGGTCAAGAGGTGAGCAAGTGAGGCAAGGTAGGCACAAGGCCCAGCTGAGTACAGAAGCGCTGATGGTCACAAGGCGCAAGCGCCTTGGTGAAGATATCAGCAGTGTTGGCCTCAGAGGCCACGTACGCAAGACGCAGCTGACCACGCTGCTGCAGCTCACGAGCAAGAAAGTAGCGGAGAGCAATGTGCTTCGTTCTGTGCTCCAGTCGCTGCTCCCGACACAAGGCCAGCATGGCCATGTTGTCTACGTACAGCACTGGAGGAGAACGAGGCAGCTCTCCGAGGTCAGTCAGCAGGTAGGTGAGCCAGCGAAGCTCCTGTGCAGCCATGGCTCCTGCGTAGATCTCACCCTCACAACTGGAGCCGAGAACAGAAGACGAGCGGGTAGCCCGCCACGAAACAGAGCCGGAACCAAGGCTGAAGGTGTAACCCTGTGACGACCGCTGCGTAGCCTGGTCGTCAGCCCAAGAAGCACCCCCAGAGTCAGCACCCCCAGGCTCAGCACCCTCAGCAGCACCAGAGTCACCAGCGACCTCGACAGGCTCAAAAGCGTCTACCTGGGACACACCTGAAGGGGCAGGACCCTGAGGGGGGAGGGGGTCTACCGGGGGGGGACCTGGTACAAGGAAGAGCGGTGGCGGGGGGAGGGACGGAGTGCGGTAGGGGAAGAGGCGGTAGTAGGGGACCGACTCGTCGAACGTGACGTCCTGGGAGGACAGAACACGGCGAGAGGTGGGGTGGTAGAACTGCCACCCTGGGGCGTCAGGGGGGAAACCCAGGAAGACGCAAGGAGCAGCACGAGGGGACAGCTTGTCCGCAGACAAGTCGCGGACAAACGCCCGAGATCCCCAGACACGGAACGCAGACGCATCGCCAACCTTCCCCGTCCACAGCAAGGCTGGGGAGGTCTCCGGCATGGAGACCCTGGGCTGAAGGTTGATCTGATGCGCCGCGTACCGAACCGCAAACGGCCACAGAAAATGGGGGGCAGCCGCATGCATCATGGACGTACGGGCGACGTCCATGACCATGCCAATGCGGCGCTCAGCAATCCCATTTTGCTGTGGAGAGTCCGGAAGCGTGAAGGTCTGGCGGATGCCTCGTGCACGACAGTAGGCTCGCAGAAGGCCAGAGGAGAACTCTCCGCCTCTGTCAGAGTGCAGACGCAGAACAGGAAAGTCCGAGCCGAAGCTCCGCCTGAGCTGGAGACGAGCTGCGCGGATCCAGTCGATCAACACCTCAGTGACATCACCCTTGCTGCGCAAGGGGAAGACTGTGGTGTAACGCGAGTAGTCGTCAACCACCAGCAGGAAGTAGCGCTCGTGACCCTGTCCACGGACGCGGGCCGGGCCCCACACGTCCATGTGAAGCGTCTGCAGCGGGGCCTCTGTCGGAGGAAACTGGGAGGAGTGAGGGGTAGCCCGCTGTCGTCCCTCGACACAGGGGACGCAGGTAGGGCCAGGCCCCGGAGGAAGTGGAGGGAGGGACCGGGGAAGACCAGAGACAAGGACACGGGAGGCCATGCTCTGGAGACGAAGCAGGGAGGGGTGACCA